CCAGACCTTTCGCTTCCCTTGCTTCGCCCCCCCCCCCCCCCTTTTTTTTTGTTTTTCTTGCCTCTTATCCCCCCTTCTCCCTCTCCCCCCCCTTTCCCCCCTTCCCCCCCCCCCCCTTTTTTTTTTTTTTTTTCTTTTTCTCTTTCTTCCTCTTTCTCTCCCTCTCTCTCTACTATGACTCCCATTCTTTTCCTTTTCTTGTCCTTTTCTTTCTATTCTTTTTTTTTCTTTCTTTCTTTCTCGACAAGCTCTCAGTCTTCGATCAGGCTTAGTCTTCGTTTCATTCAGGAATACTTGGTATATGGTTAGCTTATCTCCTCTAGGGTAGTCAATGGTACTCACGACATCTTCTCTTATACTGCGCTGCTCAATTAGCCTTATGATAGCGTACTGCTTTTGGTTTAGACTCCGAAGGTTCATTTCCTCCATGCATAGGCCAGTACACCAATACTCAATTGTTGGAAGTAAGCTGTGATTACCTTCTATATTGTACATTTGTGTAACTTGAGTACTACAGGCCTATCTCTGCCGTACCTTGACATGCTTATGTTTTTCACAGTGTCGCACTCTACCATGTTGTTTCGTCTTGTATTTTGGTTTAAGCTGTGTCTATGGCCTGATTGATGCTGTGTGTGCATTTCTTTATATTTTCCTGTAACATGTTGTCACTTCTAAATAAACTTTTATGGAATAAAAATAAAAATAACAAAATGTTAAAAAAAATAAACTAAAAGTACCTACTTGCCAACCACCTGCCTGCAATGTGCGGGTAAGCGACGGCTCTGGGCAAAGAGACGTACCCTTAAGTCGATTTCTATTTCAGGGTGTGAACGCGCCTGCGCCCCTCCACTGCCCCCCCTGTAGGTTCGGGGAGAGAAGAGAGAACACCACACAGTGAGTAAAAGCACTACTTTTTACACACACACAGGGCCATCTTTAACGAGGGGCAAAAGGGGCAGCTGCTCAGGGCCCTGTCATTGCTGAGGGGCCCAAAGCAGCTGCCTCGTGAGCCCGCGCTGCCTGTAAAAAGTCGGCTGCTGTTGGCTTTGGAACTGCTCATGTGCATTTCCCTAAGTCAACTGAATGCTCACTGAGAACGGATCGGGCTGTGCGGGAGCAGGGCAAGTCCGGGAGGATGTGTGCCTGGCTTTCTCTCATCTTGAATTTCCTGGATCGTGCTCCATCACCTCCGAGTCTCAACCAACCACTGCCTGACCCGTTGTCACATGACCTCCACAACAGCCAATCACTCCACCCCTTACAACCAGACCTGTGACCAGTAGGGCCGGGGGAGGGGGGGACCGTTCCACCCTGCCCTCCTCTGTACAGTCTATGCTGAGAGTCTGGGACCTGTCGTCATTGTTGGTACCACACAGAGAAGGAAGTAAATGACATGTATGGTGTGGGGACACAGAGCACCTGTTGTGCTGATCAGGAAGGACCATTGAGAGTGTTGAGCAAAGTACAGGGATAGGAGGTCAGACAGTACATGGGGCGGTGCAGTGAGCAGTATACAGGGAGGAGCAGTCTCTGACATCTACATTCTCTTGTGGTATGCTTGCAATCTTTGACCATCTCCTGTACCATGTCTGCAGTCTCTGATCCTCTCCTGTAATATGTCTGCAGTCTCTGGTCATCTCCTGTACTATGTCTGCAGTCTCTGACCATCTCCTGTACTATGTCCGCAGTCTCTGGTCATCTCCTGTACTATGTCTGCAGTCTCCGGTCATCTCCTGTACTATGTCTGCAGTCTCCGGTCATCTCCTGTACTATGTCCGCAGTCTCCGGTCACCTCCTGTACTGTGTCCGCAGTCTCCGGTCATCTCCTGTACTGTGTCCGCAGTCTCCGGTCATCTCCTGTACCATGTCCGCAGACTCTGGTCATCTCCTGTACTGTGTCCGCAGTCTCTGGTCATCCCCTGTACTATGTCCGCAGTCTCTGGTCGTCTCCTGTACTGTGTCCGCAGTCTCTGGTCATCCCCTGTACTATGTCCGCAGTCTCTGACCATCTCCTGTACTATGTCCGCAGTCTCTGACCATCTCCTGTACTATGTCTGCAGTCTCTGATCATCTCCTGTACCATGTCTGCAGTCTCTGACCATCTCCTGTACTATGTCTGCAGTCTCTGGTCATCTCCTGTACTGTGTCCGCAGTCTCTGGTCATCTCCTGTACTATGTCTGCAGTCTCTGACCATCTCCTGTACTATGTCAGCAGTCTCTGACCATCTCCTGTACTATGTCTGCAGTCTCTGACCATCTCCTGTATTATGTCTGAAGTCTCTGATCCTCTCCTGTAGTATGTCTGCAGTCTCTGACCATCTCCTGTAATATGTCTGCAGTCACCATTGGATCTGATTGATATAACCTTAATGATTCTGGAACATGTATGTCTATTTTTGTCTATTTTGATTTTTTTGTCTGTATTAGTACATTGCACATGGTTGTGGATGGGTGGCGTTTGATCCCTGCGTGCAGGCCCTTTGACCGATGAGCGGCTGGTGGCTCCTTGCATGGTGGCTTAGCTGCGATGTTCCCTGGGTGCCACGAACCTTGCTGTGGTATGCCCAATATGGCCGCCATGTGTCGCCAGTTAGCAAGCTCTCTGCCATGAATTTGGTGGTGGTATTTGTACGATCATACTCAGCCGGCCCAGTGGTGTCACACGCCATTTCCGACGGCGCTGATGTCCTGGGTTGGGATCCCTTCATAGGGAGGGATGGAACACGGACCATGTTACCATAGCGTCCACAACCCGTAAGGGGGCCCAGAGGCTCATACCCAGTAAACCTTCAATAATAAGCAGGTACAGTAGATATCCTAAATGTATAATAGGATACTGATTCATGTTACATACCAGTGTTTACCCAAGAGGTATTGATTCTTTTATAGACAACTAGACAGCTGGGGGCTAGCGGCCTACTACATAGGAGAGCCTAGTTATGTGATATATATATACATATACATATACCCCATTTTGGAAGGAATAATGTGGCCAACAGCAGGGGGTCATTTGAGCCATTTGTGCTCTTTACTATCACCTTCTAAGGTAAGGTTCCCCTTGTTTTTCTCCCCCTCCACCTTCTTCTTTTATTTGTTGAGCTAGTAAAAACTGGGGTGTTGTTTACATTTCATTAGGGCTTATTTATATATATTATAACCTCTTGTTACAGAATAACATACATGTGATACTGGCCTCCTGAGATTGTATGAAGGTGTAGGTCATAAGGGGGACATCTTTTAAAAAGGCCTGATATACTGTGTAGATATATATATATATATATATATATATATATATATACTGTACACACACCCAGTGGGGAGGTGAGTACTCTGTTACTATGGGAATGTAGTAGTGTTTACCTACTCAGTTAAGGTGACATTTGCCCCCCCCCAAAAAAAAAGTTTTAAATGAACTCTTATACAGTGATGTAGCAATATATTGCCCTGATTTATGCTATTTCCCTCAGATATCCAGGTTTCATCCCCCCTTTTACTAACATAAATGTGTATATTAAACTCCACCTTAGGGTACGCTGCCTGCTCCCTCTGTTTTGCTGGGATCCTCTCATCGGTCGGCCTCTGGTAGGCTTTGCCAGGCGTTTCCCACCGCTATCTTTGTGTAGATGTATGTATCTAAACCATTTGCATTTATCCGTACTTATTGCTGAACTACGAACTGTACGGTTATGCTATATGAATGTCATGTAGGATATATGGATGTTTTTTCACTGTATTTTATGTCATTTATCTAGAAACCTTCTGATAGCTCCTGAGCTGCTATCATCATTATATCAAGATTACCCCATATAACCATTACCTACACATGGCACGTGTATGATGTTTGGGGTTCTTTGATAATATTTGAATCTGCATTGATCCATTTTATGTAACATTGATTTGTTTTATTGGTGTATTCACACATGTCTGCATTCAATAAAGTTTTGGAACTTTTTAACAAATGATTGCAGTGCCTATAAAGTTCATGGTTTTTGTTATATTTCTAGTTAGTCTATGTTAGGAGAAGGCACTTTAGAACTTTGGTCATACACCCACAGTCACCACCCTGTGTTGGGAGCATCCATTTCTAAGGTTGAGGCCAGTTTCACTGGGAATGTGACGTGTTCTTACTACACAGAGCATCCCTGGAAAGAGTATACCCACTCAGTCATTTAAAAGAGTCAATTAAATTTCTCTAGGGCAGTTGAATTTGGTTAAACACCCAACAGTTAATAGGTTATTACGTTTTGCAGTAGTGTATTTGCACCATTGCATCACTGCTCCACGGAGCCTGAGTAACAGCTGAAAGCAAAAGCAAGGTAATAAGGACTTCTACATTTCACCGGATGAAAGGCTTGCTTGAGAAAGGACCAAATAAATACTAAGAGGCTAGATGGGCTTAAAGAAGACCTTCACCCTAAAAGGTGAAGCCCTCCTCCCCACCTTCTTTTTTTGGCATTATTTTTTTGGGGGGAGTGGGAATCTGGCTTGACAAGTACCCACTACCACTTACAGTTGGATGGCTGTGGGAGATTCACCAGATGTTCTTACCCCCCCGCCCTCCAGGAACATGCGTAGCTTGTGCATGCACAGAGGAAGATGGATTTGAGGCAAGGAATAAACCTACCGGCAGAGAACTGGTTTGGGTGAGGTGTGGTGGTAGAATTACTGCCCCCGGTTTGATGTTTGCGGTGATACCTCACATGTGTGGGATGATTGCTGTTTGCTTGCCGACGTACACTTTCACCTTTGCACGTGAGCACGGAGGGGAAAGGGGCACTTTACTTTTTTTTTTCCAGATGTGTGTTTATTTTTGCTGCCCAAGATCCACAAACCAGGAAAGCCAGACAGACCCATCATAGTAAGTATGACCCCACTTACCGAACAAATCTCAGACCTTGTAGATATTATGTTAAAACTGTTAGTCTCTGCTAGTTTCCTGCAAGATACGACCGATTTTCTGAACAAGATCAACAATACACAGCAATTACCACCAAACACTTCTAGTCACTATGGATGTAGAATCTCTGTACAGTAACATCCCTGACAAGAATGGATTGGCTGCATGTCACAGATTCTTATCATTCTCACCAAACCAGAAATACAGCGCTGGGGATGTTACACAGCTCATTGAATTAAATTCTTACACACAACTACTTCACTTTCAGTAATAACATCTATATTCAGTGTATGTGTGTTTGACAGTTCCATAAAATGGAATATACACCAAATACCTGGATTTTTAAGGGGTCTCACATCGATATACTGTTAAGGGATTATACATGTTTTTTCCTTTTTGGACTGTTCCCTATGTTTCATCCCCTTATTTATCCAGTCTGGGTATGATAATATATGTACTGCGTATCATTTGATCATGTTATGATATGATATAATTTTTTGGAGAATTGATATGATAATGTATGTATATATTGTTACAGCATTTACAGGTGAAACTCAAAAAATTAGAATATAGTGCAAAAGTTCATTTATTTCAGTGCAGCAACTTAAAAGGTGAAACTAATATATGAGATAGACTCATTACATGCAAAGCAAGATAGTTCAAGCCGTGATTTGTCATCATTGTGATGATTATGGCTTACAGCTCATGAAAACCCCAAATCCACAATCTCAGAAAATGAGAATATTGTGAAAAGGTGCAATATTCTCGGCTCAAAGTGTCCCACTCTAATCAGCTAATTAAGCCATAACACCTGCAAAGGGTTCCTGAGCCTTTAAATGGTCTCTCAGTCTGGTTCAGTAGGAATCCCAATCATGGGAAAGACTGCTGACCTGACAGTTGTGCAGAAAACCATCATTGACACCCTCCATAAGGAGGGAAAGCCTCAAAAGGTCATTGCAGAAGAAGTTGGATGTTCCCAAAGTGCTGTATCAAAGCACATTAATAGAAAGTTATGTGGAAGGGAAAAGTGTGGAAGAAAAAGGTGCACAAGCAGCAGGGATGACCGCAGGCTGGAGAGGATTGTCAGGAAAAGGCCATTCAAAAGTGTTGGGGACTTTCACAAGGAGTGCACTGAGGCTGCAGTCAGTGCATCAAAAGCCACCACACACAGACGGATCCTGGACATGGGCTTCAAATGTAATCCTCTTGTTGAGCCGGTCCTGAACAATAAACAATGTCAGAAGCGTCTTACCTGGGTTAATGAAAAACAGACGTGGTCTGTTGCACAGTGGTCCAAAGTCCTCTTTTCTGATGACAGCAACTTTTGCATCTCATTTGGAAACCAAGTACCCCGGGTATGGAGGAAGAATGGAGAGGCACAAGGACCCCGAGTATGGATAAGAATGGAGAGGACCAAGGACCCCGAGTATGGAGGAAGAATGGAGAGGCACAAGGACCCCAAGTATGGAGGAAGAATGGAGAGGCCCAAGGACCCCGAGTATGGAGGAAGAATGGAGAGGTCCAAGGACCCTGAGTATGGAGGAAGAATGGAGAGGCACACACTGCAAGATGCTTGAAGTCCAGTGTGAAGTTTCCACAGTCTGTGTTGATTTGGGGAGCCATGTCATCTGCTGGTGTTGGTCCACTGTCCTTCATTAAGTCCAGGGTCAACGCAGCCGTCTACCAGGAGATTTTGGAGCACTTCATGCTTCCTTCCGCAGACAAGCTTTATGGGGATGCTGACTTCATTTTCCAGCAGGACGTGGCACCTCCCACACTGCCAAAAGCACCAAAACCTGGTTCAATGACCGTGGGATTACTGTGCTTGATTGGCCAGCAAACTCGCCTGGCCTGAACCCCATAGAGAATCTATAGGGCATTGCCAAGAGAAAGATGAGAGACATGAGACCGAACAATGCAGAAGAGCTGAAGGCCGCTATTGAAGCATCCTGGTCTTCCATAACACCTCAGCAGTGCCACAGGCTGATAGCTTCCATGCCACGCCGCATTGAGGCAGTAATTGCTGCAAAAGGGGCCCAAACCAAGTACTGAGTACATATGCAGCTTCTACTTTTCAGAGGTCCGATATTGTTCTATGTACAATCCTTGTTTTATTGATTGCATGGAATATTCTAATTTTCTGAGATTGTGGATTTGGGGTTTTCATGAGCTGTAAGCCATAATCATCACAATGATGACAAATCACGGCTTGAACTATCTTGCTTTGCATGTAATGAGTCTATCTCATATATTAGTTTCACCTTTGAAATGCATTACTGAAATAAATGAATTTTTGCCCGATATTCAAAATTTTCCAGTTTCACCTGTATATGTAGAGGTCCTGATGAAGGGTGGTGTCCTGCGAAGCGCATTGACCCTTATGAATTGATCTCAAGGCC